TGTGTGTGTGTGTGTGTGTGTGTGTGTGTGTGTGTGTGTGTGTGTGTGTGTGTCTGTACACCTTGCACTTGACGGTCCACAGGTTTGGATCCCTGGAAACAGAAGAAAAAGTAAAAGATAAACTTTTTAAATGGTAAACGGTTTTTATGTCTGCAGGTGTCTCAGTGGTGAAGGAGTGTTGACGTACTTGACACCAGGAAGTAGCTGCTGCTGAGTGATGTCATCAGAAAGCTCCTCAGAGCCCCCAGAGTAACTGCAGAGCACAGAAGAAGTAACAGGAGACAGCTTTTATTTTCTCATTAGACAGAAACAGTTCTCATCCARGTACAGGCTGAAACAACTCAAATAATTTCATCAGATTACTGAAACCTTCAAGGATAATTATCTGCCTCCAAGTTTCATAGATACTGTCAATATCAATATCAATACATGCTGYTTTAAATTACAAGATTAAATCATTTGATAATGCTAAAATACTTCAKCCATTTTTATATGATTCTTGATTAAACAACAATAATCAATGGAGTAATTGATTTCTAAAATGGTTGTTAGCAGCAGCTCTACATCCAACTTAAAAAGGTTCCATTAAAAAAAAAAACAGCTGAACTTAAAAAGTGTTTTTAGGAACCAACTTAATTTAATTTAATCAGAAGTTTTTACTCACTGCTCTCCTGCTGAAGACTTGGCATATTTCCTCATGTAGTACTCCCCCAGTGCCTCCTCCCTGGAGTCTCTGAAACACACACACACACAGTTACACACACACACACACAGACACACACACATCCTTGTACTTGCATCAAACTGAGGACTTTGTATTGACGTACATTCAGTTTTGTAACTATTTATGCCTAAGCCAGACATTTTCCTGCACTAACCTGAACTCAATTCACACGTTAGTCCTGAACCTAACCCCCAACCCACCAMCAACATGTCCCTGATGGGGACAGGACCAGTGGGTCCTCACCAGGAAAATGGTCAACCAGGCAGTAAGAACATGATAACTCTGATAAGTCAGTTCCTGTGTTGTAAAATGATGGATAAATCAGTCTAACACACATCTTTACTTGGACAGATTAAAATGGTACAGAGTTCAAGCTTGCAGCTGTGCTGCTGCTGACAGACACACTGAATGGATTATTGTGGCCTCAGTCATTGTGTTCAGGCTTTCATTGTACACTGGTTTATGGTGGTGTTTGAGTAGTGTTACTGTTAGTTGCTCCTCACGTGCACTCTTAAACCTGATTCAACTGAACACAACTGCAGTCATCACCACACAAACAGCACTAATCACAAKGTGGCAAATATTAATCTGACAGTTTATCTGATGACTGATCACATGATCTCCATCAGAACCCTGASTTCAGATCAGCAGAAGGTCCTGCAGTGAAACAGTTTGATAAAATGAATAGAGACCATGAGACATCTTTATGGTACCTCCAGAGGTTCTGCAGCCGCCTGGACCCAGAGTGATCATCATCCAGAACCGCACGGTCCAAGTTAGACACTGAAGAGGAGAGGGTGTGTAAAACAGTTCATTTATAGATACTGTGAAATTAAACAAAAACAAACRGTCTTACCTTCTGCCTCCTCTGCTCAGGAACCAGCCGTGATGAAGACGAGGCAACGGAACGARGARGAAGAACAAACAGGAAATCAGAAAAAATGGAAAAATAAAGCAAAGATGTCAGGTTTGTGATGGCAGCAGGCAGCACAACACAAAGCAGGATGGGAGAAAAACTAAGTGGTTAATGGAGACTGTGGAGGACACTGGGATGAAGACAATGTCTCAGAAAGTCATGCAGAGACAAAACTCTTGAATGTTCAACCACCACACACAAAAACAGGTTTCATTATCATGAAACAGCAGTGAAGCATCTCTGTGTGACAGATTAAAGATAAAACAGATTAAAGTCCGTTTGAAGTGTTTCTGTTGAACTCTGATCTAAAGACATCAGGATGATGTTAGCCTAGGTCTACAGGTTTCAGGTGTTTGTGTTAGCTCAGGTCTACAGGTCTCAGGTGTTTGTGTTAGCCCAGGTCTACAGGTTTCAGGTGTTCGTTAGCTCAGGTCTACAGGTTTCAGGTGTTTGTGTTAGCTCAGGTCTACAGGTTTCAGGTGTTTGTGTTAGCTCAGGTCTACAGGTTTCAGGTGT